TTTAAGTCTTATTTTTTTTTTAATGAGGTTTCTTAAACTCGATAAATATTCATTAAAAAATCAGTTTTAGGGCTTTGGGAGGAGACCAAGAGAGAAGGCTAAAAGGAATTCAACAACAAAAGAAGATTAAAACTTAAGATTTTATATCGCTAAACTAGTTTTATTTGCTTTTAAATTTTATTTTATGATGTTGGATACTCATACATTCATATTTGATTGTTGATTTTCTTTTCTTTAATTATGAACTGATTTGGTCATCTAAGACTACGATGTAGTTTGATCAATTTAATATAGAGTTTTATGATTTTTATACTTTTAGGGTTTATTATTTTATATAAAATATATATTATTTTTCTTAATTTTTTTAATGATTAACGACCATTAAAATTGATTTGGAGAGCATAATTGAGATCGAGAGGAGATTTTATGCAATAACTTCTAGTAATATATACTATGAATTAAACAAAAACAAGAAATGAACCAATGTAATTTGTGGAGCATTAGTGATAAGTGGATTTAATTTTCTACGTAAACTAAGAAATTTTACAGAATATAATACATTTTTATTTATTTAAATTCACATAAAAATATAGTGGGTTAATAAATGAAGATGTGTTTGCTATAACTTGAGAAAATATATTAAATAGAATAAAAAATCTTGTTGTCACATAAATAATAAATATCTTGAAAGTATATTAATTTAAATTCTATATTAGTTGAGTATGGTAAAGTCAATTTAGTTTTTTTTTTTAATTTTTTTAGTTAATTACTTTATTCAAGTCATTTAATTTCAATTGTTCAAATAAAATTAGAATTAGTTACTTTTGGTACTTAATTAGTTTGTAGTCTTTGTGGGACGATATTTTATTTTTATCATTATATTACTTAAATTGACTAGTACTCTTGTTAGAATAAATTCAACTCATCAAATATCTCAAATACATTCTGCTTCTGAAAATTCAATAACTACTCAAGTATATACGAAGAATAAGCAAAAACCACAACAAAAAAAGAATGCTAAAACTAGGGAGACTTATCAAATAGAGCTAATACATATGGATGTCATTATCTCGACAATCACTTTCTATTCTAACATATAAATATTCATTACAATAAAAACAATAAAAACGATAAAGTAAGCCAGACATGAAATTAACATATAAATATTCATTACAATAAAAACAATAAAGTAAGCCAGACATGAAATTGAAATAGTCAGCAACCGAAGAAATGGTAACTTCAAAAATACTAAAACAAAGTCTTGGATCCCCACAACTTTTCTAAATATCAAAAATGCTATAGTAATATTCAATCAAAAATCTTCTGAGAATCTTCAACCAAAAAGAAAAGAAAGGGGAGTAAGGGGAGCTTACTTAAGGCAATGGCTTTGTAGATCTTGGAAAAGTAGGCCAAATTGCCCAAGATCCAAATCCTCAAGCTCCTTGCGCTCATCTCCGATGGCAATAGGTGAACACTTTTCTTCACATAGTCAATTAGGAAAATTAGGGGGAAATTTGAGATTTTGGGTTGCAGGTAGGAATGAGAATTAGGGATTTTTTGTTTAGGGAGAAAGAAGACAGGGAAGAAGACGATAGGGATTTTCGATTTGCTTCTCTGGTTGGATGAGGAAGAAGATGGGCAAGAAGACGGGGAACAAAGATGGAGAAGAAACGCAGGCAATGATTCTAGGTTGTTTGAGAAAGAAACGGGAATGGTGGTTGATTTTATAAATGTAACCTTATATATAGTGGTTTCTTTGTAAATAGAAGGAAATGTGAGGATAAAATAGGAAGGATGAGTAAAATTCTTTAAAACCAAAAATAGAAGTCCCCGCAGAAGCATCAATTCCATGCTTCTGAAAGTTGCATTAGAATAAAGAAAAGACTAACATGTGAGAAGCTGAAATATTTTTAAAAAATTATAATGTTTGATGTAGTTTGTGTTTTTAGAGCTAAAAAAACCCTCCTGATAAGCCGCACCAAACAGGTTCTTCAACCTCGAAGGGCTTTTAATCATTTAGCGAAGTAAAACAAAGAGTTTAATTATTTGGTGATACGAAGCCTTTCTGGCGCCAAAAAATTATCTCACTTCTTTTTTTTAATGAAAAA